TTCCGTCCCCTACAAATGCTATTTGTTTCACCTTGTATGTGCAAATAGAAATAAGAAGAAAATTCGATTTGAAGGAAATCTCATATCGCCGCGAAATGTAGATTCTGACCCATTCTGTTCATTTATCACCAGGAATCATTCGCACATACAGTTGGCCTATTTTTCGAACTTGTATCAAAATAGGCCATAATTTTTTAGGTATGTTAATATACACACACAGGGAAGAATGGTTGAGATTTTTGGTACAATTGGTACAATAATCCAAAATTAAGATATCTAACACAAAATTTATTTTCCTTCAAACAAATTTTCACTAAAAAATCAATTTTGTCTTAGATATTTTAATTTTCACTTAAATACATTCCAATGAATGTCAATTTTTCACCTTATTGACTCTACTGGAGTCGGATTGAATTATTGAAATAAATTTAATGCTAACCTGAATGCATTTCGGACAATGTTGCTATCCATCATCAGCAATCACGACTAATTCGTTCCCCGTTGAACGAATTAATTATTTTCAGCTTCACATGACAAATTTGCACGCCAATACACGAATTGAGTTGAGACCAACGAAACGAAAAAACAACACTCGATACATACACACTCACTCACACACAAAACAATACCGAACCATTTCACTTGACTTTGGCAAACAGTGGCGATTCAATGTTGCCTCTGTCTTGGTTTAGTGATTAGTTGTTTGCATCGGCCGTTTGTATGTAGAATGCTTCTAACGCATCAAGCCGACGGCTGTCGTTCACTTGTTTTTTTAGTTTTACACGGTCTTTGTTTACATTTGTGTGGCCGTCTATCAGAACGTGAGCTGCTACAGCTGATTTGTTCGGGTGATTTAGACGAATGCATCACATTTAATTTTGTATTATTTTTACGAAAAAGAAAATCAATTGTACCAAAAATCTCAACCATTCTTCCCTGTGTGTAGTAATTTATAATATATCATAATTTGTTGTGAGAAAATGTGAAGAGTACGGAATAATTTTCCGTCCAAGCATGTGTTTCTAAAAATACTGAGCACAAATAGTCGCTAATTTCTGTCATCTGCATTTCCTATTTCGCGAAGTGTTTTTATGAAAATATTTTCATGATTTTATTGGCATACACGGTTGAAAATAATAGCGAAGTTGTCTCGGCGGTTCAATAAACTTTCCCTCCGATCGATCAAAATAGTAATTGTAAAATTAGCGGTAATTGAACGACAAAAAAGTAATTGCATAGGTAATAGCAATGAAAAAAGTAGTTGCAAAAAGTAATTTTTGACCATAAATTACATCCAAAATGTCATATATTACCTCTTCAATTACTTCTTTCTGGTAATTACTTTCCAAATTACATTTTCTCTAACTATCACTTTTCAATGAAAAGTGATTGAAAAGAGTGATTTCCCACAGAAACAGCAGCGCCCCGGCCGGAGAAACTACGCCTGACGTTTTGTACCAAGGACAATGCATGCTAGCCGGATGCTTAATTTTTCGACACTTAACACCAGCGCCACATATAGTAAGAAGTTGAACTAAAAATAACACACGAACTCCTATATCGATCACCGTGTATAGTGTTTACAGTTTTGACTACCGTGGCGCACACATTTGTTGCTAACAGGCATTGACCAGGGAGCAAATCAATTTACAAGCATTTCGGTCGAAGTTTCACTTCAAAAAATACCTTTATTTCTCTTTGATTTTGTTGTGTTATTAACACTTAAATTATTTCAAAATGTGCCGCATTTTCCCTCCAAGCATTCGTTAGATAACCGATTTCTCCGGTCTAATTGTCTGTATACGAATGTTTACGGAAAATTATTCCGTACACAATATAAATACATGCAAAATATCTGTTTGTTGAAAACCGATATATTGTTTTTCTTTTTTTTCCTTAACCCTCTAATGCATACAACCGCCTCTAGACGGGCAACATTTGAACGCCTGTATAACGTAAACCGTACGTTGGATCACATTGCTTCAAAAAGCATTTTTATTTTTCAATGTGTCCTCTATAATTTTGTCTTTTGCACTGTTAGTGTACATCAAGTGGTTGTCGTGTTATAAACAAAAATGTTTGCAACAACAATTTGACAAAATCAATTATTCGAACTCCAAATTAGACACATTTTTGACACTTTTAATCAATGGATTTGATTGTTCTCTGATTTGTGTCAATCGCATTTCCTGACTAGACCATGAGGAATCCAGAATTATGAATATTTTTTCAATCATCTATGGTCAAAAATCAACCAAGTACCAGTACTCCCAGCCCTGGGAAAAATTAATGCATTAGAGGGTTAACACACTGTTCAAAATCTTTTTCGAAATATATTACGAAATAATTTTCCGCAACCATTCGTATACAAACAATTATATCAGAGGGAAGGTTTATTGAAAAGCGGCACATTTCTCTAAAATACACCGAACATACACGAAAATAGGACTTTAAAAAAATTCATTGAAACAACGCCGCATTGAAATTTCGAAGCGTACATAAATATGCTACGTACTTTCGGAGCCTTGCATTATTCAATAAACTTCCATCGGCTTCGTAAGGTTTCATTTTGCCAATAAAAAGGAAAAACTGTAGATGAACAGATTTTAAGTGTTGTTATCAAAATGAAAACGAAACAACTGTCATTCGCACCATGAAATATGTTAATTAGACAATAAGTTAAGAGTACGGAATAATTTTTCGTGCAAGCATGTGTTTCTGAAAATACAGAATACCAATAGTACGCTAATTTCTACTATCTGCAGTTACTATTTCGCGAAGTGTTTTTATGAAAATATTTTCACGTTCTTATTGGTATACACTGTTGGAAATAGTAGTGAAGTTGTCTCGTAAAATATATTAAAAAATGACATCCACGGTTTTCCGTGAAAATGTGCGAATTTGACAGAAATTGTGTAATCAATACAATCGTAAATGTACACGATTTCAATCACATTTTACTGAACAACTATGAATTTCTCATTTTATCTGAACTTGGGACAATTTCCCGATTATTTCTGAGAGTGTAATATATTATCGTTGTGTTTTTTGTAAAATACATATAATTTTAACCCTCGTTCATACACCCGGGTCTGGCCAGACCTTTTCTGTTTTTGATAGTTAATTTAACATAATTCTAGTTTAGCTAGCGACTTGAGTTTCAAGTTACCTGCCTAAAATTTCATTGGCTATCGATCTAGCAAAATGAACATTACAAAAAAGTCCTTAAAAAGGATGATATAATGATATTCAAAAACTACACCTTTGTTCAT